TGCGCGCGGGGCTGGCAGCTGGGCCGGGGGCCAACATTACTGTCTGGGGGGAAGCAAAGTGCCTCTGCGTATAATCAGCTCAAATATGAGATCCAAAATAACAGACACGTTTTATGTATATACATGCCGCATACCGAACTGCATACCGAATATGCCAGCAAGCTGTACGGACACGTCGTGTTATTAAAACAGTTTTATTCGTGAAATAAAAATTAAACAAATTCCTGCATTTCTTTTAAAACAGATAATGGGGAACGGGCAACCGTACAACTCTCCAAATTAACCACCGTCAGTAAAATTTAACATGCATGGGTTTAAATTCATTTTAAAGTGAGTGAAATAATCCCACGCGCGGCCAAACGAACAAAATGTACTTGAGAGAAATACGGTACTTGTGGGAAAAAAAATAAGACCTCCTTCCACATTAATGCGTACCGCGACCGCAGCAGCCACAACACAAAGCAAATGCAACTGAAATCAACAACTGTACTTTAAGACAATTGTATTATGCATATGTAAACAGATTAATATACTCATTTAGCACCGGTAGTAACATATATAGTGACTTAAGTGTCAATGTGACATTTTGCATTTGTTTGCATACACTAATTCCCTCATGCAAAACCCAAGGCAGTTTGATACTGGATGTTTACAACTTTGCTCGAAAGCAGGAGTTACAATATTTCACATTTCCTTGTCTACTGCTCCAACTCCACGTCGCTGGCCGTCATCACTCACGACAGGGACGGAGAGCCTGTACCCGACAGTATACCGGCGTTTTGCGGCTCGGCTACGAGACAGCCATAAAACGGGCATTGATCCATCGAGAAACAGTGGTGTCCAGGTACACATTCAGCCAGCCGACTTCGGTGGCCGCTCTGCCGCTGTCCGGCCCCCAGCGACATCCTACCATTCAGTGCAGTCAGTGTCTCTCTCAGCGCCACTCATACGTTTTGCCAAAATGAAATTACTTGAATATGAAGGCTAAAACGCTAGGTTGGCATATGTAATAAATAGGCTAATAAGTACATTGAATCGAAATCAATTTTACTATATAAACAAATATTGACAATTTCCCTAAGCAAACACTATTCTATAACCTTGAAAATGCATGTTCTGGATGTCAGTCTATATTAAACAGGGCCTATAAAAATAGGCCGCCGACTTTTCAGATTATTTCATTGAGAGAAAACGCAGTGGGTAAAAACGGCCTCACCTTTCGGTGCGTTACAGCGCTTCGTTAATCATGGAGCCGGATCCCGATCTTCTGCGTGATATGATGCGCTGACTGGCGCCGTCTCTTATCTCGCGGCGGGGCTGCTCACGCGCCACGCTGGCACGCGTCATGTGCCCCCCTGCAGCCATTATCAGTCGGTGGTCCGGCCTGCGCATCTGTTCCCCCACATAGCAACACTTCGCCCTTGTTTAGTGCTCAGATATTGAGTTGCCCATTCATTTCAGATTCCTTAACCTGCATGGTATTTGGATATCCGAACCTTATTACTGTTATACCATAGCTAATTTGCCTACAAATAATTTTAGGATATTTTTATTAATATTGATCACCTGTGACTACAGACTAAGACGATTAGAATGTTACTGGTTTATCCACTTTTTCCGACGAATAGAAAAATGTTTTTTTCTTACAGAATACAGTCTACCTTACAGAATACCACCAGCATAGTGTATAATAGCATGATGTTTCGTTTGTCACGACTGCTAAAAAGTAAAGTCAATAATATAGTTGTTTTACGGAAGCAGGGTTATTTGTGGGTGATTGTGGAGCCCGAGGAGCTACAGCTGTTTCCCGTCACTTTATAGGCTACAGGAACTTAATACGTATTATTTAACTCATGGCGATTAAACAGTTCCCCCCCACCCCCGAACCAGTACCCCATTCAGGTCGAAACTATTACATCAGAACACAAACATAAATGCATAATGACATAATATACTTGTAACACTACATAGGTGTCCAAAACAAAAGCGTTGTAACAATATTTTTGGTTAATGCAGTAATTAGACATCTGAGCATGGCTCCTGGATAATTAATACAACATTTAAAGCGAAGACTGTCGGTGAGACCAGATGTGCCAAAACAGAATGTGTCCCACATGTTTTTGTCTTTATATTTCTTAGACAAAATGTGATTCTTGTATAGCGCGCTGTCAAGATCTAAATCTGTATCTTTACACTTACGCTGTTTTGCATTTTAATTTAAAGGACTCCCTGTAGATATTTACGAGGTATCGTTAGCTTATTACCGAAAAACAGAAACAGACGTTCAAATTACCAGGACGAAAAAAAAAGTAAACACAATTAAAACCAATCGTTTTAGTAGCCTAAGCAAGGTTTCACCACGGGTATCACAGTGATCGAAGAATCCAGTGGGCTGAGAAGTAACAATATTCTAGATGAGTTACTATGTACTTATGCTGAATGTACAATTCTGAACTAAATTATTATGTAACTTACCGGAATAGCGTTATTTCATTAACCATGTAATGATAAAGCTTTCCTAATAAACAAATTAGATTCGAATAACTTGATAGAATTTACAATTACTGGCACGTGGGGTCCCGGCGGAACCTCTCAATGTGAGTTAAGGTCCACAAGCATTTTCCATACTTTCCGTCTTCGGCTTCGTTATTTCCAGCTGCTATGCGTTACGTCGATGTGGGCCCCTGGCCCGTTGTTGTGATGATTGTCTTCCGTTTTCACTGCACACTTTCCCGAACATCAAGGTATTTTCCAATAAATTGATGTTCACATAATATAGTCCTTCAACTAAGCATAATAACCCTTTTCTACACCGGTCCAAACCTCAGACATAAGCAAACCTGATTTATATCTTACTGAAGCAAACAAAACCATTTTTATGAAAAAAATCTGCTAACCGACTTTACTTTCCCACTGTTACATACCTTGTTATAAATAGTTTACAGACGTCATTAATAACACAAAATAATGAAGGGATTATGGCCAAACTCTGACAGAAAGGTGGTGACTAGGAGGTAAGCTGCTCGCCTAGAAACACGGCTCAGAAAGCCGCTGCTTCGTTTGCTGGGAAATGCGGCCTCAGAAACTCGGTGCATCGGTTGTTGCACAAAAATGAGTCGCAGTCACAACTTTTAAAAAGGGAAAAAGAGCGCTACTGCCCTCTGCTGTCAGTAATCAACATTACAATCAGGTGGCTTCCAAACCTCTATGCGTACTCAGCCATTCCAGATGCGCGCGGTGTACTTCACTGCCGACACCCGGCCATGTGCTCCCGTGTGTCAGCAGAGCATAGTTCCTCCATACTTCATACAACATTTAAAGGGAAGCTAAAGTTGGCTAACACGAAAGGTTTGGATCTGCTGCTGTGAAGCACAGGACACCAGGCATAAAATGTCTGTGATGATAGTAGTGTTACAGTAATAATCATTATGACGCGGCGCTGGGCCGCAGGTGGCAGTTGCTTTATCCCTCCAGGGTTGGATGTTTGAATGCTGTCCTCACTGCACATGTGCACTTTGCATGTTCTTGCTGTGTTGTACTGCAGGCGGGGGTATGCCGGCCCTCACCGACAGCTCCACCACACTCATTATCACCTTCCTCAGTGTCCCCCACACATGAACACAGACACATACACAGTGAGCACGGTACACACACACACACACACACACACACACACAAACACAGACACGCACACACACTCCACCTCACACAGCAAAGAGTCCGCTTGCATGTCATGCCAGGGCACTGTTTTATTGTGCACAGTATTTACAGAACAGAACAAGCTCCAAACATCAGTCTTTCACCTCAGTCACTCCCCCAGCAGAGTCATGTGACCTCTCCACCGCATACACTGTCGCTCTCCCTGAAGGGCGGCACCGCAGGGGAGGGGGGGGACATTGTACAGATCCTGAGTGAAAAGTAAATGGCTGTGGCATTGAGGGGGCAGATTCAGGTCTCTGCATTGGACGCGGTTCCATCTGGTGTGATGTCCTGCTCCTGACCGTGACCCTGTGACCCCGTGACCCCAATCCCTGATTGTGGCTTTTTGAACCACATGGATATTTCCTCAGGACTCGCCCTCGACCTCCCCCTCAGATTGCTCAACACCCCCCAACCAAATCCCTCACTAATCCAAAGAGCTGCCATCCGGCGAAATTGAAAACAGGAAAGCCCAGTGACCCATGCTCATGCTGAAGGAGATCAAATGTCACCTGGAGTAGAGCGCCACCTAGGGCTGCCTGCGTGTGCCTTTCCCTTTCACGGGGCCTTTCCCTTCCCAATCTTGAAATGAAGAAATAAAACCGCAAATGTACAAAATAAAAAAGGCGCAACATGAGCAAAGGGAGCCCTGAGTGGAACTGCTGCCCATTTTGCCCGTCCTCATCTGCGCTGGCGAAAGAGGAGCCTGTTACCCCTGAGGGTGATGACAGTTGGGGACTGGGCACGGTCAGGGAATGGTCAGGGCAGGACCAGGGCACGGTCAGGGCAGGACCAGGGCACGGTCAGGGCAGGGACCG